ACACGACCGAGGATAGACATTCCAACCCTCTCTGCAGACGATGTTTAATCACCATAAAGTATTTGTTTTCCTTGACCATTCCATAAATACAGTTTGGTTTTGCTGAAGTTATTTATGTGGTATTATGAAGGTACCAAGTCATTTGTACATTAGAGCTTTTGTCGGTTTTTTAATGTCTAAAGACTTTTTTAGTTTTGTTCTATCATTAGAAAAACCAGCATTAAAGTGACAAGATTGTATAGTTTGTATATTTAGGAATGTATTTTTGGGAAAGAATTTTAAATAAGAACAAATGCAGCCTGGAGTGCTGTTCTTAAATAATATTCTATTTAGACTTATTTTGTACAGCTCTACCTTTTAGAGGTTTTACTGCAATAAAATAAATCTGAAGGAACCTCACTGCTATGTTCTATGGCTATAACACATCAAACTCTTCCTAGTTAATATTGTGTTCAATATAGAGAATGCAGGGAACCATTTTTTTATTCTGAAGTGCTGTGAATGAATACTCTGAGCTGTGAAGTGTTTGCATTTCCTGCTAGGTCATAAAAATGGGTGTAGAGTTGAAATACTTGCACTTTTTTGAGATTTGTACTTTCAGCTCATGTTTATAATGGATCTGTTTGTTTAACAAGTTCCAAAAGCCCATTGAAACCACTGCTATAGGAGGAGGGCTGCATGGAACACGAGTCAATTTTAGGGTTTTTTTTTAATAAAGTGAGCTTTCTGGATGAACTTACCTTTTTTCTTTTTGTTTTTTTAATACTATTCCCATCAAGTGGGGCACAGCTAACTCATTCCTTTTCTAATCCACGAACCTGGGATAGCTATTCTATCATTTTTAAACTCTATTTTCAGAGTATTTTTTAGCAAGTAACTCAGTGGGACTTAGGCTCCACAGTCATTCAGGTGCTTTTAAAGATTTTTGTCCTTACATATAAAGAGAAGACCCTACAGTTGCTTAGGAATATTTTATTACTTATTTTTCTACAGTTTAAAATAATAATAACAATGCAGAAAAAGCAACTAATATATGTAGACAAATATACAAAGCAAACGTGTGAAAGCACCAGTGTTTAACCACCCCGTCTTTTCTAGCACATCCCAAATTGATTTGCATGATATACTTGACAGCTTTGTCACTAATTCATCTCTGCAGTCTTTAATGCATGTGTGACTCTGAGCCCAGCTTTTAGGTGTGGGTGTTCAATCCACATACGGGTGTTTCTAAGAACTGAACTGCTCAGTTTATTTTATGCCCAAGTGCCAATTGCACCATTCAAATGGCAAGTTTGGATCCATTTTATCAAGAGATTGTGCTTTCCATAGTATTAGAAATACTATTTATTTTTCTTGCACTCCCATAGATTGAACTCCCCCTCACAAAATTTAATTGTATGCATTCCTTTGGATCATTAATCTGTTTGGGGCTTTTGGTGGCTGAACACGTGCTCCACAGAATAGAGCACTGGCAGTTTTATATGATACAAAAAATACTTAAGTGAGTAAACTTACACCCTCTGTTCTACAAAAATGGACTGTTCTAAGTAAATAAGACTCTCTACAGATTGAGGGCACTACATGCTAATATATATGAAGGGCCACAGTTAACCCCTGTGTGAGAAGGTGTAACTCTGCAGAAGTCATAGAGCTGCACCCCGGTGCTGAATTTGACCCAGTATTGTACTACAAAGAATCCAATTCAAATTTTTAGCCATACAAGTTGCACTGTTTTGTAGGAGTGGGAAAACCCCCCCTCATCATTTTAGGGCCTGATCAAAGTCCCGTTAAATTCAATGGAGTCTTTCCATTAATTTTAATGGGAGTTATATCAGGCCCTCTGCCAGGTCAATACAATGCATTTCACTTCTCAGATTTGTTGTTGGCTGTTTGTAAAAGATTATTTTATGTCAAATAATGGATTTCCAGTCAGTAAAAATAAACTATGAAACTTGGTGTCTTGCTGCTAAAATCAAAAAGCTCTTAAAATCTTACAATTTTGTAGTAAATTACCTAGTATTGAGTACTTGAATGATGCTGCTTTAAAAAATATCTACTATATTGCCGTACTCTACAGAATTATGAAAAGGAGATGTGACTACTTTGTCCAGAATTACTGTAATTGATAGCTAAGTTTTCATCAAACTACTAGCCGCTTTGTTATATAATATTTGGGTAATTTAACTTTGAAAATGCTGATTTGAATGGTTTTTATTGTGCTAATTCTTTATTTTCTCAAACACTTCTAACCTTTCCAAACCACCTTTATAGTTATGACTCTACTATGGTGGGGTGGAATTGGGGAGAGAATGCAATTAAGTCCAGAATAAAGACTAAATTACATTAGTCTCTGTCCATTAAAGCTGACAAATACTTTTAAAATGCAGGTCTGTGGATGTATATACTATTTTTCTATGTATGAAACATTTTAATAGGCAACAACTATACATTTTTATCCTATGTATACTGTAATGGTTTTGTCAGAATTAATGGTAATTAAAAAATATTACAAAATTACATAGTTGGTCTACACACTTGTATGTTTGGGGTGGGAATAGGGGATGTTTCAGAACTAACTTTAAGTTACAGTCATGGCAGAGTCAGCCATGGAGGCAGCGTCACTAGTCACTGGGCAGAGTCAGCCAGGGTGGCATGAGGCCAAAGGAGCAAGGGAAAAGGATGGGAAACAGGCTGGGAAGGTGGTGTGAACACCATCTTCAGTGACATTATTGGCCCGCTGGGAGGATTTGAGGACTGGTACTGGCCCTAAGGTTAATTGAATTTGAGACCCCAGTTTATACCTTTGGAGCAGAGACCCCTGCCATGAGCAGTGAGGTGGAAGAAGAGGAGGAGAGGGAAGATGCAGCAGGGGGTTCAAGCTCAGACCTGTTCAAGACTCCATCACAGTCTAGCCCAGTGGTCTCCAAACTTTTTATTGTCATGGCTCCCCCTTACCGATAATGTAATCTGTCCGTGTTCCCCCCAAACTTCCAGGAACTGAGATTGGGGCTGGAGCTGTGGCTGGGGTCGTAGCCTGGAGCGGAGCTATGGCCAGGAGCCAGGCCTCGGCTGGGGCTGGAGCAAAGTTAGGTAGTGCTCCCTCCCTGCCCACCATGGCAGCTGGCCCCGACCCTGCCACATCCCCATGAACATTCCTCCGTGGCCCCCTAGGAGGGAGTGTCCTACAGTTTGGGGACCACTGATCTAGCCAGTCCCACCAGACAAGCACAGATGAGCCCAAAGAAGGGAAAGGGACCTTGGATAAATGTGTACATACATTTTTCCTTGCAGGGTTTAAATTAAAAGATAACACCTAGCCCATCCCCTAGTTAACAAACACAGGTATTGACTTCTCATTGTTTTACTTGTATGAGAAGAGGTGTAAGTACAACACGTAGAAGTAGAGTTGGCATCTGTTTTTCATTCTGCTGTTGGGTTAGGCTGGGGGAGCGTGAGGGAGAGCTATGTAGAGCATCGTATTTATGCATATAGGGATGTCTCTTGTATTCTCAATGAAGTTTCAGAGAGATACTCTACAATCCTCTCCCAAAGGTTTCTAGGGATGGTTCCCTTATTTCTTCCTTTGTGGTATGACACTATCCCATGCCATTCCATGGTAAGACTGGCTAACACAAATGTAGTTAACAGGTTAGTGGTATATGGGCTTGGGTGGCTTCCTGGTGCCAACAGCAGCTATGTTCTCTATACCTTATACTCTCAACACTGAGATGTCAGCTAAAACCACCACTACCTGTAGCAGCATAGTAACAATATTCAGTGCCATTGCCCTATACTCTTACCCATGGTATGGGGACCAAAATTGTATTGTTTCGTGCAACCAAAAATCCATCACACCCCTTGCCATTACCGTGGCTGGACCTGGAGAGTAGTGCTATGCAGAGGCACTTCAATGCTGAAGCATCAATGTCTTATTAAAGCAATTGTGGGAATAAGGGAAATAACACTACAAACTGTATGTGGACTGTTGCTGGTACTGAGCAAGGCTGCTCATTTAACTTGGAACTCTGGGAAATTCTTGTAATGGCATGGCAGTAATCATTAATCTCCAGCTGCAGCCTCGCAATGACATAAATTCCCCTCTACTCTGTAAATTCTTCCTCCTTGACTCTGCTGTAGCAGCTCACCTGTCTCACCCACCAACCCACCCAGTTTATCTCCCCTATACCATATCAGTTCATGCACATACATGGAAGCACTGCACATTCAGCTGAATGAGTCACTGTTGCTCCAAGGAAGGAGGGTGGTGACTGGCACTGCATTCACAGCTCCTGGAGGACCAGCCTGGACTCAACGTGATAAGGCCTGTGAAAAAACATCTTTTACTGGACCAGGTTCTGTTGGTGAGAAAGACAAACTCTGCAGCTACATCGAGCTCTTCTTCAGCCCCCAGGAAGAGCTCTGTGTAGCTAAAGAGCGTGTCTCTCTCACCAACAGAAGTTGGTCCAATAAAAGATATTTCCTCGCCCGCCATGCCTCTAAAATCCTGGGACTCACTTACTCTGGGCCTTTTTAAGAGTCAAACCCCACCCCATGGAAAACAGGGAGAGCCTCTATTTCCAGACAGCTCCACACTCGGCAGGCACCCAGGCACTCTTTAGTAAAGAGGGGCAGGCTCTGGCGGAAGGACACTAACCCCCACTCTCCGCCTGCGAGGACGGTTCAGTGCTCGCCGCGCAGTTGGCTAAGCGCTCAGACCCTCCACCGAGCTGCCAAACCACCGCTGTGCCTGTGCGCACGTGGGTCACGGTGACATGCTGTCGGCAGCCCCGCGCGTTCACCCACGCGGGCCTCTGGCGAAGGATGGCGGCCTCCACTCCAGCCCGGGGCTAGCCCCAGCCGCCCCCTGGCCGGCGGGGCGGGGCGGGGCGGGGCTCGCTCTCCTGGGAGCAGCAGCGCCGGGCCCAGCGCACTGCGGCACGCACTAAACTCAGGCCCGGCTCCCCATGCGCGAGGCGGGCCCTCCCTCGGAGTCGGACCGAGCCGTGGGGCCGCCCCTTCCTGTCTCCGTGCGGCACGTTCCTTCCGCTTCCGGCGCGTAGCTGCTTCCGCTTTGCCTAGCCACCGGGGCCCCGGTGAGGATGGAGGCTCACGTGGCTCAATATTCCGCTCGGCTCCTGCAGCAGGTCAGCCCCGCCTCCCCCGGGAGAGGGACGCTCGCCCTAGGCCGGGTGGCTCCATACAACGGGCTGCTCTGGTTCCCACCCCCCACTTCCGTCCTGGGCTGGGGGGAGGGAGCCCGCGCCGCCCGCAGCCTTTCCCCGGGGGCTGGTGAGGGACACGCGTCCTCTTGGCGCAAGGGTTCAGTGGGCGGGGGGCTCGTAGTGGGGAGTCTGCGGGGGATGCCCAATGGGGAGGCTGCTCCGCCGCCTGGGAGGGTCCAGTGGCACCGGGGGGCGGGGGAGGCTCCGACCCGGGAGGGTCCAGTGGCACCGGCGGGGAGGCTGCTCTGCGGCCCGGCGTGGGGTTCTGTAGGCCCCGGGGTAGACAGGCTGCCCTGAGGCCTGGGGGAAGGTGGCGCTGGGTCTGGAGGGGTGGCACAGGGACCTGGGACCGTGTCGCTGGATGTGGGTCTTTGGAGGTGAAGCCACACAGCGCCACGGTGACGCTTCACCACCTTGAGCCACTGTAGAAAAATCAGGAGGATCTTATCAAACTGGGGCGGTGGCACCTTTGGGAGCATCTGCCTGTTGCTTAGATTGTAAGCACGTCGGGTGCAGGGACTGTGTCTTTGTGTCAGGCAGGGTTGAGTAGAAAACACGCTGCTGCCGGCTGGCTAGCAATCTGAGCCCTGCCAATGCCATGCTGACCGGCCAATATCCTGCCGCCTCTTGTGACAATGCTGCTGTACAAGATGCCAGCCTGTAACTTCATTCCACACCAGCCTGGGATTCTGATAGTGCTCCAGGGTCTTCTCTGCACACAGTTTTTGTATCAGTATAACTATGTTGGTTAGGGTTTGCTTTTTTAAAAAAAATTGATACAGTTATGCTGGTACAACCCCTGATGTGAATGCAGTTCTGCTGGTATAACTGCATTCATGCTAGGGGGATTGTACCACTTTAGCTATACTGGTTTAGTTAAAGCAGTACAACATTTGTGTGTAGGAAAGCCCTTAATTATTTCAGCATACGTGTCAAAATCTCAGAGAGAGAGAGAGCGAGAGAGAGAGATCTGCCATGCATTGTTGGCCATTCACAAAACACCCTGCTTCCAGGTCCACTTTGCTGTACTTTCCTTGTCTCTTCTTACAAGGGTAGCCCCCTAACTATTGTGTTACCTCAGAATTGCTGTACATGGTTTTCACCTTCAGAAGGAAAGATTAGTCACATATAATAAATCTTGTTGGTATTCGACAAGCAAAGTGCATATAAAGCGTGATTGCTGAAGAGAGCAATAAAATGAAGGCAGGAAAAGGTCAGAGGCAAAAACATGCACAGGAAGGCAAAGAAAGAAACAAACAGATGGGATGAGGGAGGTAAATAGAAAAAAATGAAGAGGGAGACATCAAACATAAAAGCACAAAAATAAAAGAACTAAGCTGCCCACCAGAGTTTAGAGAAGAGCAACATTGGGCCCAACTCAGTGCAACTCACCATAGGTGAAGGGATCTTCAGAAACCTGACTGCAGGATCAAAGCTCAATGTGTGAAGTTAGCCTTCTCTTTCACATAATAAAAGTGTTTGTCCAATTCTTAAGTAGTATAATGACTTTGGCTTAAAAAGGTAATCTACAAAGGGGAAAAATGGGTTTGTTTTGCTACTTTGCGTTGTGCTCAGAAGGCCAACAAGTTTTAGTTTTTTTAGGTTTTTTTTTCCTGCTTTGTCTCCATTAGAATTCAGAGTTTGTCTACCCTCGAAGATGGTGGAGATGTAGTAGGATTGTGACAACACTTAACAAGAGATTTCCTGAAAGGGAAAGAGTGTTTGAAGATCTTTTTATATTTTTATATTTTGTTTGATAGTAAGATCTGCTTAACTAAACATTTGGAAGAAATTATGTCTCTGATGGAGTCTATAGCCTGTCCCCTTCCATGGAGGTCTCAGAAAAGTCCCACCACTTACATCTGAGACCTCAAATGAGTCTTCCAATAAAACTGAGGAGGTCTGCCATTAAAACTCTTGACATCTCTGATGTAAAAAATAAATCATAAAATGTAAAACACCAACCACAGTCAGGCCTTCTTCATTGCTCATAAAGAAAATTCTGATTCAAAGTTTACTATCTGGGCTGACAGCCCAGTGTTAGATCACTGTGAAGTGGGGTCAGATGAATACCAGGTAGGTCTATGAACCTTTCCCAGTGAATGTGGAAGCCTAACTCATCAATTTCTGCACAATTTAAGCTTTCATATTAATTAAAATAAAGAAAAGTTTGTCAGAGATGGTAAGGAAGAAAGTCTTCCAAATGTGAATGGATGTTGCTTTGTCTTCCTGAGTCTGGTAGTGCCTCTGCTCATTTTGTGAAGCAATGGCAGTGTGAAATAAGAGAGACTGTGGTCAGATTGGCTGCTGATATTCAGATCCCTATGAAACTGGCCAAAGTCATGTCACTTTCATGCACAGCTGCTTGGGAAAGCTCCGACCAGCAGCAGAGTCAGGGATTGTTGCTTCTGAGGAAGAAGACCTTCCAAAAATGGAGATTGGGGGAGGGGTGAAGTAGAGGATATCCTCCTCTCCATAGCTGGCTTCAGAGGAATCACTGTGGGTTGGGTGAAAGAGCCAAGTGCTGATCTTTCTCTCAGGTGCAGATGACGTGTTGCCAAGAGATTTATGGGGAGGGGAGAAGAGGCAGAAAGCTCTTTCTCCTTTCAAGAGCTAGAGTGGGTGGAACTTCAGGTCTCCAGATGTCTGCTAGCCAGAGGCTGAGAGGAGTGATCAAGTCCAGAGAACACTCTGCCAGAAACTCATCATCCCATGTGGAGGTTGGCCTCTGGAATTCATTGGCATATACACACTTTGTCTTTTCTGTCTACCTGTGATTTAGTTCTCTGGCTTGTAAGTGTCTAGTATGTTTTTCAGGCCATGATGCAGACTGACATGACGAAAAATTCGGGATATAACTCTGATTATTCTGACAGGTTTCAGAGTAACAGCCATGTTAGTCTGTATTTGCAAAAAGAAAAGGAGTACTTGTGGCACCTTAGAGACTAACCAATTTATTTGAGCATGAACTTTCGTGAGCTCCAGCTCACTTCCTCGGAGCTGTAGCTCACGAAAGCTCATGCTCAAATAAATTGGTTAGTCTCTAAGGTGCCACAAGTACTCCTTTTCTTTTTCTGATTATTCTGTGTCTGTCTGACTTCATCTGACACTACCTCTCCTCATTTCCTACGATATTTGCCCTCTTCCTTTGTAGTTGCTTTTGGGGCTTGTATCTGTAGAAGAGAATCTTAGACATCAACAACTAAGTTTAAGGGCAATACTGATCTTGTTAAAAAAAGCTTTAGATTTTGCATTCACAAGTGAGTGAATCACAGCTGACCAAAGAGCCTTTGGAGATGGCAGCATGGCTTAATGCATTCATCACAGCTTCTCCTGAGGTGGTCATCAGGTATGACCCTCTATTGACAAGTTGTGTTTAGTCCAGGGGAAAGGTTACCTTACCACGGCAGCAGTGAGACAGATGGCGCTTTTTCCTTCCCTCTCCTGGTTTTCTTTCTCTTGGTTACACATATAATGCCATCTCCCACTCTTGCTCTTCCAAAGTCTGAGATAGTATGAAAGAGAAGTCACAGATAAAAGTGAGCTGATTTGTTAAGCCTTTGCATGAGTGTACTTGTGCACCCAGGTTTGATGGTATGAATTTCAGATGGAAAATAGAGAATTGATAGTATGCTCAAATACATTTTTTAGTCTCTAAGGTGCCATAAGTACTCCTGTTCTTTTTGCAGATACAGACTAACATGGCTACTACTCTGAAACCAATTAAATCTCTGTCTCTTTTCATTTTGCAAGATCTTTAACTTGTATTTCAGTCTGAAGCTATTTGAAAATGTGTCTCCAAATGATATCAAACTGCAATTAGTTTGGAACAGTACAAAAATAAGAGGAAGGGTGAGAAATATCCTGTCCACCAGTTAGCGTATGGGGCGTTTTTTTTTTTTTTTTTTCTGTTAGAGCGAATTGGTCATTGATTAATTCGTCCTTGACTTGCATTTATTTAAAAAACAAAAGTTAAATACCTGGATCAGGGAGCACCTGTATATGGAAAGTTTTAAAATGGTAGAATACTGTGTATAAAGGAAACCTCAGGAAAGATAGTTTGCTCTCTGGCTGATCACATGAATTCCTATAATGCAGTTTTATCATGAGTCTAATGATGACATTAGGTTATTTTTCTTAGAGACCCTAGAATCTCAAGAGACTGCATGAGAATCCCAGCCTTCAGTAAGTTTCTGGCCTTCATGCTTGTAGAAAAAAATTTGAAAATGTGAAGCATGTTCACCTAAGAGCTCAGAAAGCAGATAAAAAGAACCCCACGTTTATTATTTTTAAATAAATGTAATTTTTTACGCCAGTCTCATTGGGGGGGCTGGGGTGGGGTTTGTGGCCTGACTCATGATTTGCTTGAGGTAGACAATACTGGAATTCTTAGAAGATGCTGCTCATCTTGAAATACTAGGAAAATATAATGCCAAAAGTTTTAAAGACCCAAATTGTTCATTTGTTACAAATAAAAAGGAACATGAGGACAAATTATTAATGAAGCTGAGCTGTGGTGCTCTTGCAATGCAAATGTTTCTATTCTCATTGACTTCTATGGCTTCAAACTTTGGTAGGATAAAATTGCCCATTAAATGTACCTCTTTGCTCTGCACTGTAGAGAGAAGCAAATGGAAAGGTGAACGGAAGCTCCATTCCACGTTGTCTCCCATGGAGGCCCCTTTGCTTTAGCTCTGCAGGATTGGGGCTTTTTGGCTTTAGGGGAGGTCTGACTGGAGCTGGGAGAGGGAAAACCTAAGGAGCAACCAATCTCTGGAGCATGCTTCCTTGGAGATCAGCCACCCACAAGTTACTATGGATGGGAATTCTCTGGGTCTTTCCCCCTTATCAAGGGGGAAGTATCAGGAACTGTGCTGCGAGAGAGGAGAAGCAGTTAGGCAGTCAGATGGGAGTGAGGGTATCTGCAGAGATGGCTTCACTGTTCCCCGTGGATCTACTCCCCGAAAAGCTGTAGCCTATTCTCTTGTGTGTGAGACCATTGTCTCTCCCCCCTTGCAGTCAGTGAGTCAAAGGGTATGTCTACACTGCAATTAACAACCCACAGCAGGCTCAGGCTAAGAGGTGATTTCATTGCAGTATAAACATTCGGGCTCGGGCCAGCGCCTAGGCTCTAGGACCCTGCAAGGCGGGAGGGTCCCCGAACTCGGACTGCTGCCTAAACGGCAACATCTACACTGCAGTGAAATAGCCCTTTAGCCTGACCCCTAAATACCTGAGTCAGCTGGCACTGGCCACCCACGGATGTCTAGTTCCATTGTAGACATACCTCAAACTTCTCGAGGCTTGGACTTATAGCGCCCAATGTGGATTTATCCTCAGAGGAAAATGTGACCCTGCGTTTGGTCTGATGAAACTGAGTGTGAAGACTGTCAGCCTGAGGGGGACTGTTAATAAAATCAGAATGGTATCTGTGTGCTTTTTTTTTCCTTTCAAAAAGAAAGGAGTGGGTGGGCGGGGCTATAACTTTGGAGCTACTTAGCTTTAGCTGTAGCCCTCCCAGCTCTCAGTTGACAGAGGAGAATGGCTTACTGCACTGAATATAGCCTTATTGTTCAGACTTTACTTAAAGGGCTATTTTTCCTTTGTACAGGAGTGGTTTTGTAAGGTACTTTTTTCATCTACAAAAATATTAGACCTTTTAAAAAAAAAAAATGATGAGCTGACCCTGCAGATGCTTTCCCCTTTGAGGAGTCCTATTAAAGCCCCAGTACTGTCTTTGAAGCTAATAGGACTACTCATGCGAGCACAGTTGCTCTCATGTTTAAGTGTGTGGGAGATCAAGACCTATAATTACTATGAATTTTCATTATCAACATGACAGACTCAGTGTCGGAGTCTGTCAAAAGAAACGTGTGCTAATAGTTGCTAATTACTCTTTTGTAGCAGTGTTCGGCTTTGTTAGTGATTTCCTTTTGGGCTATGTCTTAAAGAAATGAGCTAACAATCAAAGTTCTGTTGCAATCTACTCCAAGAGTTACCTCAGATGCAAACATAGCAGCTGACATTATTTTATTTTATTTACCAGGAAAAAGAGATCAAGATCTTGGCTGCAGAGATTGATCGACTGAAGAACTTTGGCTCCTTGGAAGTATCTCCAAGTTTGGAAGGATTGCGAGACGAAAACGCAAAGCTTAAGTACCGGCTAAACGTTCTTCAAAAGGTGAGGGAGGAAAAATAGAGTACATATTGGTAAATGCTTTCCTTCACATCAGGCGAAGAGATTTTATTTTGTTATAGCTAATGCTAGGTAACAACTTGTTCACCCTGCACTCTGGTGCCACAGTTGTAAATGGTATATTATAGAGCTCTGTTCTTTCACAATTCTTTGGACAGTGTGGCTTTTTGATAACGTTTTGGTATAATTGCCTGTAGTCAGTTAAGCATGCCCTATAATCTCTTCTGCATTCTTGGAGTAGGGCACTCCTGTTAGAGTTGAGAACCTGCTGAGGTCACCTAATGGCCACATACATAAAAGTATGAAAAGGTTTGCTATACCTGAATCAGTGAAAGTATTAACACTGTTAATTTCAAAGGGTAGGGTTCTGTCCTAAAAATCTGGGAATGAAGGTTAAAGTGAGAATGGTAGGAGAAACTATTTAATCTAGAAAGTAGTAAAAACAGGGAATAAGGTGTTGCTGTGTAAAAGCAACAAAGATAATTGGCATATTTCAGAAGAGATATTTATTTAATAAATATGTATATAGGGTGAAACTAATGCCAAAGCAGAGGGATCCAGGCAAGTTCCTATGCATCACGTGAACCACCCATAATGCATACAGTATGAAAAGGCCCAGTCTTTTCCCAATTGACTTCAGTGGGAACAGAGGCAGTATTAAGTCCGACCATTGTCAGTAAGAAGTTCCTGAAATAAAATTTGTAGCGCTTGCTTGAGAATGTTTAACTGTAGGGTACATCCAAAGACTATGTACTGTGGAAACTGAAAGCCAAGTTCTTTGGTGGTGATGCTTTTATCACATGACGTTTTCCATAGTTTGAATTTCAGTAATACCTAGAGGCCCCAGCCTGATCTGCTCGGGTTTGCCGGGCAGCTTTAGAGTGAGAGTGAAGTAACTTCTTCTAGAATACTGTAACCTTAGTGTTTTGACATTGTTTTTTTTTCAGAGTCTTCAAGAGGAGAGAAATAAGTCCGTGAAAAGCATGATTAATATCAACAGCCGCATTCAGGAGATCTTCAGAGATGCCATCAAGGCTGCATATCCGGATTTAGAAAACCCCCCACTAGCAGTCACGCCAAGTCAGCAGCCCAAATTTGGGGATTACCAGTGTAACAGTGCTATGAGCATAACAAAGGTAACTCTATTTAAAAACAATTCTTGGTGCATGGAACTTCTGTGGGGTATGAAGCTCTCTAATGATATATCCAAAGCAATATCAGGTTCTATATTAGACACGTTTTAGAGTCTGATCCTGCAGTCTTCACTTATGTGATGACATTGAGCTTGGGGAATTTTGGGTGCAATAGGAACAGGCCCTTAGACTTCTGTTCTGATGAATAGTGCAAGAATAAAAGGATTCTGAAGACCATCAAGGCTAGCTTAACTACCTCTGAAGTCTAGGTTTTTGTAGCTAGGTAAGGGGCAGTGTTCGTGCATTCAAGGGAGTATGTGTTGCTCTTTTAACATTTCAAGTACTTTTCAATTGCAAGTTAAAGAGGCTTGAACCTCTGGCTTAATTATTTTATTGCCATAAATGCTTTACACTTGTTCCCATAAAATAATCCACTATTTCTCCTCACCCTAAACACACACTTACTATAATGTTGTACAATGACTTCTAGTTGTATTAATCAGACAACAGTAGAACCACAGCCAGACAACAACAGAACCTAGGGTGGCCAGACAGCAAGTCTGAAAAATCGGGACAGGGGATCGGGAGGGTAATAGGAGCCAATATAAGAAAAAGACCCAAAAATCGGGACTGTCCCTATAAAATTGGGACATCTGGTCACCCTAGCAGAACCCCATTTATCTGACCCTCCCTTTACTACAGGGGTCCACAGCGCAGTGCCCGCGTGCGCAGTGGTGCCCGCCGGGACAGTTGTGTGCGCCCGCAGGACACCGCGCCACCAAAATGCTGCCGCCGAGTGTGGCCGCCAGAGAACCACCTGCCGAAATGCTGCTGAGAAGCGTTGCTGTTTCTCGGCGGCATTTCGGCAGCGAGGCTTCTTTCCGTTGCCGCTTCTCGGTGCTGTGTTTGGCGCCCGCCACAGCCTTTTGGGAATAGGAATGTGCTATTGCCACAGAAAGGTTGGGGACCAATGCTTTACTGGTTTTCCACAGTTACAGAACAACCAGGACTGCAGGGCCAGAAGCAGGCGATCTATCCTGTGGCCACTAGATGGCACTGTAGCACCCCTTTTTCTCATTCTCCAGTTTCTCCAGAGTTTTGATCATTGTCCCAATTAGACCAGATAAACAGGATTCTGCTATAACTGGGCCATGTGGTCTCATGCACAAATGCAGTACTTTTAGCACCTTATTTAATGAATGTAACATAAGTCATTGATGTCAGGCTTAGTATGCCCCAAAATTATGCATTGCCTGAGCTGCACACCACCAACGAAAGATAACATGCAGCAAAATGTACTATATAGTTTGCTGTTGTGTGCTCTGCAAACTACCTGTGAGAAAACAGTAATATTAACCATTGTTCAGCAAAGTTATTCCAAGAAAGTTGAGGGTGGGCGGTGAAAAAAGAAGAAAAAAAAAACTGCAGGAAGGGAGAGCCAGTAATGCTTTATGAGAGATGTAGGATAATAAAGGAGAGAAGGATGTCAAGTAATAATGCATGGCATGGAGTTGTTTTAGAGTATGTCTTCATTGCAAAGTTAACCCAAATGATGGGCACGAGGGTCAGCCAACTCAGTTGTGAGCAGCCACACTGCAGAGCCACTCTTGAGTTACTCCGTCCTTGCTGGGGCTGTACTACCCAGCTGTGTCACTAGGACTTCTGGGGTATGTCTCAAAGTTCTTTATGCTGCAGTAGATTAAGGCTCTTCGATTCTTTCCCAGTGAATTGTGGAAGAACTCATCCTTCTGGGCACATGGGGGGAATTGTGGGAAGGTGTTGGAGGACAATGAGTGGCTCAGCCTTCCTGCTCACTGCAAAATGTGCAAATTACCAGCCCAAGTGAGAGCAGTACTTGGGCTTTAGTCTATACACCCAGACAAGCCTGCTAGTTCAGGTAGAAAGCACCACCAAATTCAGATCAGAGGTTTTTGTTTGTGGACAGAAGCTGGGCTAAGAACAAAACCTGAGTAAGAGCCTGGTTAGCTCTTTAGTGAAGCTGCAGCCAAATTTGTAGGTTCTGGGTGAGCCCTAGAAATGTTCCTTGTTTTTTAAATGAGAGAGTGAATAAATCTGGATTGCTGCCTCTTAAGAGTGTGTTTGATTAGTGCAGCAACCATACAGATTTTCTGGGGGTTCACATAGCATATGCAAATCAACACTTTAGATATGCTAGTGAGGCCTGGAAAGCCAGTTTCGAGCAGCGTAAAAACAGGATATATTTAGACCTCTGGTGCGCATGATGAGCAAAGATAATATTTGAAACTAGCTAGTTATATATATTGCAGTTGTTTTTTTTTCCCCCCATTTCCCAAGAGGAGGAATGTCTGGATTCTATAATTTCTGGAGAACACATTTTTAAGATCAGTCTGATTTTTAAAAGCTATTTCAGATCTGAGCAAAAAGGAAGCAGTTCTGATAAAATCAAATGAGATCAGCAATGTCTCATAAAAAGAAAAGAAAAATGGAATCAAGTCTTTTGTCCAAAGAATCAAGAAAACTGACTTCTCTCATAAATATCAGCTTGTCACAAAAGCTCTGGAGAATCTGAGAGCATTGTCTTTTGGACTAGCTTTGATCTGTTCCGCCTCCCACCCCCAAAAAAATCTGTATTAGTTTTTATATCATCTATTTATTTTACATAGTCTACAGATACATGCAGACAAGGTAAGGTACCTTTCTTAATGTTTGGTTATCCCCCTGCCAATTTCAAGTTCCTACTCCATATCACTGCAGTGCTGGAGCTGTTTTTTTAAAAATGGTCAGAACTATCCTATCCTAGCCAAAACTATCAATTTTTCATTGACTTTGGTCTCAGAGTGGCTGACCTGTTTTGACCAAACTTTCTCCTCAGGCAGACATCATTCATGGAAAATTTCAGCCTCAAAACTTAATTTGTCGACGTTGTAGGCTACTGATATCTCGGGATTATAATGGAAATTGTTTGGCAACTTTAATAACAGGCATTGTTGTTGAGTGTGTGTGTGCGTGTGTGTGTGTAAATTCTTTGGCACCTGGTTAAAATATTCTTAGGGTTCCTTGATGGTTTTAGTGTTGCCCTTTTCAGAGTGTACTTTGGCTACTGGGGAGCAAAATAAAAGAGGAAGCAAATGAAGAGTCGGAAGGGGTTGGGTTATAATGAGGAAGCAAAATTAGGCTCTGGGGAAAAATGAGTAACTTAGGTGCATTGTGAACTAACGGAAAGTGAATTTCAGTCTAGCTGTGAAACTATCCAAACTTCCAATGTATTCATGTCTTTGTCGCTTTATAAACGTACGTCTTCCATACTATAATTCTCAACATAAGTAGCTTTCCTGTTTTATGAGTTTTTTCATTAATAAGGGTTTATTAATTTATTAAACATATATCTCTTTATTTCAGAGCCCTTGTTGTAATAAGCAAAATGCTTGTCTCCCCATGGCATACCTACAGGGGTTGTTATATACAGCTGCTATGCAAACTGCCTGTCTCATGGGGTTTCACTCCTGGGCAGCATTGATACGTGCCAGACAGCAGCCTCTTGGTTTGAACTGCCAATGCAGAAACAGCCCTCACAAATGTGTGTTGTCTTCCTTAGATCTCATTAGCATATTATGACAGCCTCCGCCGAAAGATCTGCCTGTCTCTTAGCGTAACAGGTCCTTGGGTGACTGCACAGATACAAACTTTCAGAGTATTGCCTTTTTTTTAATATCTCTTGACCGCCACTTTACCCCAATTAAGTCATTGTTAGGATTCTCATACAGTACTGTCTTCTCTGTGTCTACTTTGTTTTCATTACTTGATGCCCAAATGCGTACTTGCATTTGAGGGTCATTTATATAGTTTCTCAAGTCCCAGACTGTCAGAGGAACTGATGCCTTAAGGCTAGCTGTATTGGACTTTGATACAGGCTTCGTTCTTTCCTTACACATGGCTCTAGGACTCTCTGTTGTTCATACAGGACTAACAGTGTGCTGGGCACTATGGAATTGTAAAGGCCATGTGGCCTTTCTTCCCCCACCCCCAGGAGCATGATTCCAACTCCAGTTAAGCTCCCTTGTTATAACGTGCACCTTGCAGTTCTTGGGAGTCACATGACCTAGCATTCAAAAGAGACCGAAATCTGTACACTGCTGCTGTGTGGTAGCAGGAATGATTCTGACCCCTGGGCAGCACTGATACATGCCAGCCAACAGCCTCTCCGTTTGACCTGCCAATGCGGAAACAGCCATCACAAATGTGTTTTGTCTTACTGGGAGCTAATTAGTATATTGTAACTGGGGTTCAGCCAAAAGCACTGCTAGCGAAACAGATATGTGGGTTATTGCCTTCATAAAGACTTGGATACCATCACCTGTAATTGTTGGCTCAACATTTATTTCCCCTGTTTTGGCAGCTTTTCCCTTGTTGAGCGGTTGATTAAAGTTATTGCTGCTGAAAAGAGAGGATTTTTTCCTTGCCTATTCTCAAGCTTCACTCGGGCTATGTTGTGTTGATGGTAGGATCAAATGAATCATATAGTGCCGCATTATATCTGAAACTGAAACTTGTTAAGCTGTAACATTTCATGGTGGACTGGATGGTAACAATATAAACATCCAAGAGTCTGGAATCCAAATCACTGAGAAAATAATAGAGCCTGTGGCCTTGGTGTGAAATGGTGCTTACCTCACAAGGTGATAGATGTTTGAAAACACCACAGAATGACAGAAGAAAATCAAATTCCATGAAACACACTTTTATGTCAGATTTCATGCAGCGTGAATGCATAGTTTGTTCAGTGAATTGATTTATCTCACAGAATTTCAGGTCCTCAATGCAATTTTAAATATCAGGGCCCTCTTAAAGGGTAACTTGTAAGATTCAAAGAGTCAGGGGACTTGGGAACTTGTGTTCTTCCTCTGCCCCACCCTGTATTAAGTTTAATGGAAGGAAATGCTATTTTACAACAAATTTGCTAAGCTCATGGATATTTAATTGCACTGTTCTCCTTATAGTAGTCCTAATGCAAGGCAACAGATCTGCCTGATCGTGATTCACATATCAGAACGTCATTTGCAATACTTAATGGCAGCCCAGCTCAGTCTTATGTAGTTATTTCTCTGAGGTAATAGTTTTAAAGATACACTGTCAGATTAAAAATCATAATAAAAATAAAACCAATACATTTCCTTCACTTTGGTAAAAATAACACGTTTGATTATAAAAACTAAACATTTTAAAATTCTGATTTGCCCATCCCTGTTTATATTGAAGAGTTATTTTTCATATGATTCTTCTCACTTTTGGTTTTTTCCTAGTCAGTGTCACATTTTAGCTCTCAGACACTTGCACACTGTTAGCACACTGTTGTAATGTGTGAGTTAAAAATTGGGCAGGGGAATGTTTGTTTTAAAATCTGATCTTCGTTACATTTTGTAAAGTAAATTTTGAAGATTTGTATGAAGTTTTGGCGCTCTACAGAGGACTGATATGCCCAGTTTTTGGACAACAAGGGAAAATTGTATGGGACAGTGTGGACAGTGCTTACTTTTTAAAAATTTGCTTTCAAAACTGGGCATCCAGCTGGTGGGATTTTCAGAGTCACTGCTGTATGATGCTGTACACACCAGGCATGGCTGCCCTCCCTGTTTCTAAATATCACTCCCCTTCACTCCAGCCAAAGTCACTCAAAACACTTTAGGTCCCTTTTGTTTTCACCCAGGGCCTGCTAGGGCAGTACAGTGACCTCACGTGCACTTGAATGGATAGAAAATCCCCCAAAATGGATTTGGACATGATGTGGGGGAATTAGTCACTGATATTTTTAAAAGTGATATTAAAGCTGCTTTTCCCTTTCTGTGGTTGCAGGAGTGATGGGAGAAGCAGAAAAGGGCAATTCTACACACACTCATCAACTTTTTAAATGCTTGGGCAGGTGCAAATAGCCAACTGAGCCCCTCATCAGATGCTGGGTACTATGGGGATTTTCAGATCTGGTTTTGGCTGACCCCAGGGTTGTAACTAAATTAGAAAAGAAGGTGCTTTTTTTGTTTGTTTTAAATTCAGTTAGTGAACATGATTTGAAACAGCATTCCGCGCCTAGTGTAGGCACAGTTCAAACCACACTAGCTGGTTGTGGTGTAACCTGGAAGGAGCTTAGGTTACAGCCAAGACCAGCTAGCATGATGTGAAAGGTTTTCACTAGGTGCTGAGTGGTGCTTCAGATTAGGTTGGCTAACTCGATTGAAACAAAAACCTAGCTTAGAAAAGGCCCAGATTGCCAGAGTGCTTAATCGGGGCGACCTGAGAACAAAAATGTATAATCCTCAATTTTGTTTTCAACTGATTGACAAGGTGGATGGCTTTAGGTGTTTTGGACAACGTTTTACTATTCCAGACATCAGTTTTACATTTGTCACCTACACATAGGCTACCAGAATGGCCCTTTTGCAAGGTTTCATTGGTCATTTTTGCCTCAGTGGCATCTCTGTCAGCTGCTCTGTGTACAGTGAGAGGACAAGATCAAAAACAAGAATAATCAAAGCCAAACTCAACAACTGTCGCCTCCAGCACTGATTCAGTTTCAACAGCTTTCTTGGTATGGATATATAAGAATGGAAGATCAGTGAATTCCAAAGTGTGCGTGCCAGTGATCATATGGATGCCAAAAGTTTTGATGGCACAACGAGATTGCCAGTGATAGACATAAAGTAGTCTGATTGTATATTCAGTTTAAGCACCTTGCCAGAGATCAATCCGAGTGGCTCTTGATTTGCAAGAAGGCCACGTTTCTTTGAGATTTGCCATGATGATGATTAGTGCTTAGTGGGATTTTCAAAAGCAACCATGCAGATTTTCTGGGGGTTCACATAGCATATGCAAATCAACACTTTAGATATACTAGTGAGGCCTGGAAACCCAGTTTCGAGCAGTGTAAAAGCAGGATATATTTAGACCTCTGTTGCACATGATGAGCAAAGACAGTATTTGAAACTAGCTAGTTATATATATTGCAGTTATATTTTTCTTTGCACTTTTCTGTTATAAACTGTAGTATCATCAGGACATCTTAAGGTGGTACCAAATTCCTCACGTTTTAGGACCAGATCTTGTCAGGGCTTTGTGTGTAGCACTCCTATTAACTCCCATGGGAATGCCATGTGTGACATGCTTACAGAACTAAGTTCTTAATATTCCACAGAGTTTATTAGAAGAGAGGAATTTAGTGGGTCTTGTCAGTGTAGTATCAACTCAGGTTATATTTTATTTTCCATCAGATTCCCCCAGGATTAGACTGTACTGAATCCTCTCGTTACATTTCAGATGCTTTCCAAAACCAACGAACAGAAAGTGAGCCCAAGAGAAATTGCTGATAACATTTCCAGAAACATTCCTGACAACAAATACATTGAGAAGGTTGAAATCGCTGGTCCTGGTATGGTCACTCTATTGTTGTACCTTCCCAACATTTAAATTTGATGTTGCAGCTATTCTACCAAGTGGCAATAAAGGAGACAAAATCTAGTTTGATTATTTTTTAGCATTATAAATAGAATTAAAATATGAATTACATTCAGTTTTGCCTGATTAATTTAGCAGCAGAAAATCTGCGTAATAGAACTTGCATTAGAATCAGTGGGTGAATTTTCTTCCCGCAGCTCAGTAAAATCAAAGCAGTGCCCATATGTGAATCTGCGAGTCTGAATTTTTCTAAATGTGACACTGTGGTTTTAAATATATGGTAATTGGTGGCACTTGTACATAGCACATAGCCTCATGTGCGTAAGTGCCTTCAGGATAACTCACTGGAACAGCTTTGTGTAATGTCACTTACGTATATAAGTGTTTGCAAAATGTGTTTGCAAAACACCCCAAGATACACTTTTTGTCAAATATTTCACTCTTGGGTTCACTCTTGATTACAAAAACCCCAAAGCAGGTTATGTACTTAGCAGATCTTGTAGCATTTGATACGTATAGTTTAGACATCTTTGCTTAATAGCGATTTGTTTGTGGAAAACAGTCTCTCATGACCTGGTAAATTAACTATCATTTTTTCAGAGAGTGATCATGTGTTTTTTCCTGTTATAGAAACAGAAAGTTTATTAAGATGTTCTGAAGTTAGTTTTAAATACTGTGTTTTCCTTGTATCTAGGGAATTGTGAACTTTGGTACGAAACACAATTAAATGGCTTTCAAGGATAGCACCAACAACCATTGTTTTTCCTCTAAAGGTTTTATTAACGTCCACTTGAGAAAGGATTTTGTGTCCAAACAACTGAGCAGTTTACTGGTGAATGGAGTTCAACCACCGGCTATTGAAATCAGGAAAAAGGTGTGCTAGTAAACTTTCATTAAAGTTTCAGTACTGCTTTCAGTGCAACAGCAAGTGCTGATGAATGGTTCTGACTCTGATTTTGCTTGGTAAGCACGTACTTTCTTACTGAGCTTATAATGAAGCTTTTAACAAACATTCCAACTACAAATACACAAGTTATTACTATTTTAATAGTGGGCACTTCAGGGTTGCAGCTGTTATGGCAGAGGGGGAGACTAGGACTGACTTGGCAAGGAGACGTGGACGAAAAGCCTGAGGAGTGGAGACTGGGTTGTTAAGGGGAATGGGACATGGGAACATGGGTGGGAAAGAGACAGAAGAGGGAGAAGAAGGGGTCAAGCTTGGGAGGAACGGACAGAAGAACCTGTGCCCACTCGAGTACTCTCCTTTCAGAGCCTGGAATGAAGCCTGTGATTCCTGAATCTCCCTATTCCTTTTTTGTCAGCAAATATCTGTGCAGACCGTGGGCAAAGTGTATGTCTCATCCCCTTCTCATGCGGTCCACATAGAAGACGACAGCATACTATCGCTGTCAGTTACTCAGGTCAAGTGGCAGCAAATTATCACGCAGAATATAAAATGTACAGTATTCACTTTATATTATTTTTTATTACAAATATTTGCACTGTAAAAATGATAAAAGAAATCATATTTTTCAACTCACCTCATACAAATACTGTAGTGCAATCTCTTTATCATGAAAGTGCAACTTACAAATGTAGTGGGTTTTTTTGTTACATAACTTCACTCAAAAACAAAACAATGTAAAACTTTAAAAATGTAAAACTTTAGAGCCTACAAGTGTACTCAGTTCTACTTGTTCAGCCAATCGCTAAGACAAACAAGTTTGTTTACATTTACGGGAGATGCTGCCCACTTCTTAATTACCATGTAACCTGAAAGTGAGAACAGGCATTCGCATGGCACTGTTGTAGCTGTTGTCGCAAGATATTTACGTGCCAGATGCGCTAAAGATTCATATGCCCTTCATGCTTCGGCCATTGTTCCAGAGGACATGCTTCCATGCCAATGACACTCGTTAAAAAAAATGCGTTAATTAAATTTGTGACTGAACTCCTTGGGGGAGAATTGTATGTCTCCTGTTCTGTTTTACCCACGTTCTGCCATATTTTTCATGTTATAGCAGCCTAAGATGATGATCCAGCACATGTTCATTTTAAGAACACTTTTACTGCAGATTTGACAAAATGCAAAGATACGAATGTGAAATTTCTAAAGATAGCTACAGCACTAGACCCAAGATTTAAGAATCTGAAGTGCTTTCTAAAATCTGAGAGGGATGAGATGTGGAGCATGCTTTCAGAAGTCTTAAAAGAGTAACACACTGATGCGGAAACTACAGAACCCAAACCACAAAAAAGAAAACCAACCTTCTGCTGGTGGCATCTGACTCAGATGATGAAAATGTACATGCGTCAGTCCACACTTCTTTGGATCGTTATCAAGCAGAACCCGTCATGAGCATGAATACATGTCCTCTGTAATGGTGGTTGAAGCACTGAGGGACATATGAATCTTTAGTGCATCTGGCACGTAAGTATCTTGCGACGCCATCTACAATGCCTGTTCGCGCTCTCAGGTGACATTGTAATTAAGAAGTGAGCAGCATTATCACCCGTAAATGTAAATAAACTTGTTTGTCTTAGCGATTGGCTGAACAAGAAGTCAGACTGAGTAGATTTGTAGGCCCTAAAGTTTTACATTGTATTGTTTTTTGAATGCGGGTTTTTTTGTACATAATTCTACATTTGTAAGTTCAACTTTCATGATAGAGATTGCACTACAGTACTTGTATTAGATGAATTGAAAAATACTATTTCTTTTGTTTTATAGTGCAAATATTTGTAATCAAAAATCAATATAAAGTGAGCATTCTACACTTTGTGTTCTGTGTTGTAATTGTAATCAATATATTTGAAAGTGTAGAAAACATCCAAAAATATTTAAATAAATGGTATTCTATTATTAACTGCGTGATTAATCACAGTTAATTTTTTTACTCGCTTGACAGCCCCAGTCATTATGTAATTGAAATTTGTATCATATGTAAATGCACATGGAGTCTGACCTCAAATCTGGCATTTCCTGATTTCTGAGTGCTTGACTTCGCAACATTAATAATTTTCTTTTAACATAGTTTTTTGTATGCTCGCTCTCTCTCTCTCTCTCTCTCTCTCTCTCTCTATATATATATATATATATAAAATCTCTGTACATCCGTCTTGTTTGTTAAATGATCGTCCTTTACATAGCTTTGTGTAAGTTTCTTGGGGGTACAGGGGTCTGTGCCAATGGATCTGATTTTCAGGATTCAGCCTAAAAAGGGTGTTTTTGCTCTGAATTGTTTGCTGGAGTTTGGAGCTAAAAGCCACATTTAGAGTTTGATGTGCCAGCTCATTGGGTGGCTATTCTACTTTTTAAAACCTATCCTATGCTGTGTAAAAGAGGAACATTTATTTTTAATTATTAAGGATTTGTTTGTAGCGTGTAAGTAGGGATACAGGTAATTTTCACAGCCAAATATTTGTTGCAGCCAGAAGAGTTCTAGACATTTAGAGCCTGACTTTCAAACCATCACCAAACTATAAAATGACTACAGTTATACACATACAGGAAATTTGAGCTTGCCCAAATGGCCAGTTGTAATTGACCATTTGCCACATGCAAATACATCACTTGTGTATGCAGTCATGGTGACTGCACGTATCCATAAGGCATGTATCCACAACTTTGCAAATTTTGCCCTGAGAGCAGGACATTGTACAGTGCGTCATTTAATAATGTTTCTGTTCATTTGTTGCCCTGTCGAAGGTGGTGGTTGACTTCTCTTCCCCTAACATTGCCAAAGAGATGCATGTTGGTCACCTGCGGTCGACTGTTATTGGAGACAGCATGTGCCGTCTGTTTGAGTTTGTGGGCTATGATGTTCTGAGGTGAGCACTGTTGGACTTGGCAGACAAGTTTGTTTATCTCGATTTGTACAAGTGCACCAGTGATGCCTGTCCGTCTGTTCTAGCCACCTTTAGTATAACTTAAAAATACATCATAACTAATATCCCGAGTGTAGCAGCACAATTCGGCATTACCCCCCCACCCCCAGCAAGCCATGTGACTGAAAAGCTCTAATCACCCTTCCCCCGCCAACAATCTTAAGCCTGTTTTAGTTCTGATTTCTCATATGATGCATAATTTTGTTTTGCACTTTCTAATTGTTGGCCAGATTAAACCATTTAGGAGATTGGGGCACCCAGTTTGGAATGCTCATTGCTCACCTCCAAGATAAATTTCCGGATTTCCTGACTGTTTCACCCCCCATTGGGGATCTCCAAGCTTTTTACAAGGTATTTTAGCTAATATGTCCACTTGTTCTCCTCTTACTTTTAAATGAAGCAATAATTCAGAACTGTTGTGAATGATCAGTATAACATTGTTGAAACAAAATGAATTTTAACTGGGTTTGTTAAAGAAGTAAAGAATTGCTTATTTTAGTTTATGAAATACAGGTATCCGGTCTCAGGAATTGTATACTGGTTTAGTAAAAGTAATTTTTTACCCTACCCATTAAGCCACACTGCTTCCCTTCCACCAAATAAAAAATTGCTTTAAAGCAGAATGTCAGAAATACTGTTTTGCATAGGAGAGAAAATACTTTTTCTTACATATAGTTTTTAACCTAGGAATCCAAGCGGAGATTTGACACAGAGGAAGAATTTAAGAAGCGAGCCTACCAGTGTGTGGTCCTACTACAGAGCAAAAATCCAGACTTCATTAAAGCATGGAAACTGATCTGCGATGTATCTCGGAAAGGTAACAGTTAGAATTAGTGTCTATTTCTTTAATCCAGTGTTTGTTTTAAGTAGATCATTTTATGTTGATCTGAGACACAAGTTATTCTTTGGAAATCGATAAAATTCGTTGGGATAAAAAGGAGCAATATGGCTGAGGAAGGTTTGCTCCATAGAACTCCACCATACATATCAGAACATCAGAGCAGGATGCAGAATTCACTTAAAATGAATACAACCACACTTGAAAACCCCAGGATCCTCAGATTTTTCCCAAACAGCATTATGGGTGTTGCCCTTAATACTATCTGGAAGAGTGGTTTTGAAGAGTTAGCAACAATGACATTAGTACCAATGTAGAGTAACATCTAAGTATTATGCTGATTGGTGCTTAACAAATGTCTAATATTAGTAACAATCGATCATTTCCAAACAAAATGTCTGACCCTTATTCCTTCCTGCACCTCTGTTTGTCTGCTTCTGAAACACAGGTTGTTAAAGAGAGAAACCCTTCATCTCTTTCTGACAGCTTGTTGAAGTGTTTATGCTGTATAGTATAGTATTGCTGTGGCCTGTTTTATTTATTAAATGTTACTTACCTCTGTAATGTGGCATTCTGTCCAGTATGGCTCAGTAATTGAAGGTTTTGCCCCATTGCCTTAGTATCTGAGTACCTCCCAGTGACTGATAAATTCAGCCTGACCGCCCCACCCCCGAGGTAAGGAAGTACAGTAACTCTATTTTATAGATGGGACATGAGGCACAGAAAACAAGTGACATGCCCATGGTCACAGATTGCGAGAGAGCTGGAATTGAACCCAGATATCTTGGTTCCCAGGCCTATGGCTTAGCCTCAGGACCATCTTTCCTCTCATTTCAGTCATATTTTAGGGTCTTTTTGCTTTGAGTCTTAATACAATCAGTCAAAATCTTGAACTTTTTTTTTTTTTATAGTTCTCTCTGTTTTCCCTACTCAGAGTTCCAAAAAATCTATGACTGCTTGGACATTAAACTAATAGAGAGAGGGGAATCGTACTACCAAGATATGATGAAAGATATTGTGCAAGAATTTGAAGACAGAGGTAACATGTTCCTTAACATCGTCAAAAAATCAACAATTGTCCAGTCACTTCATTTTTTTTTATGTTTTTTCAGTTTGAGAGAGTGTTAATTTCTACTAGTTTGTTTAGAGACACTTTCAAGATTAATGTTCCCCAGATTAGACACTTGTCCTTCCCCTCCATTATATTTTTGACTAGAAAATGCTCCCCTGCTGAGGGACACAGGCTATTATTCCTTGTTTTTGTCGTTCAGAAAGGTCTGGGAATTTGGGGCTCCCGGGACCCCCTGCCCCTAACCACCCCCCAGGATCCCACCCCCATTCAACCCCCCCTGCTTTCTGTCCCCTGACTGCCCCAACCCCTATCCACACCCCCACTCTCTGACAGGCCCCCCAGGACTCCCACGTCCTATCCAACCGCCCTCTGTCCCCTGACTGCCCCCTGGGACTCCCTGCCCCTTATCCAACCCCCCCGCGCTCCCTTACCCTGCTGCTCAGAGCACCAGGATTGGCAGCCGTGCAGTTTAGAGCCCTGAGGCAGGCCGGCGGCTCTTGCAGCTTCACTGACCAGCAGGAGCTTGCAGCCCTGTTGCCCAGAGCGCGGCGCGATGAGCTGAGGCTGCAGGGAAGGGTAGACAGCAGAGGAGGGGCCAGGGGCGAGTCTCCCCAGCTGGGAGCTCAACTGCCAGGCAGGATGGTCCCCCGGGCCGTAGTTTGCCCACCTCTGCACTAAGTACATCAGGATACCAACTTACAATGGTTTTAAAATCAAGCTAGAACTCTCTTAATGATAGCCTGTTATTTCACCAGCAAAACTAGATTTGTATAAATCTATGCTCTCTTTGCAAAAGATGATTGGCGGTGTTTTTTTTTTTTAAGAAATCAAGCATTTAATGAGACCTGCACAAAATGGGTAGAATGTGAATAGATAGGAGCAACTGGCTTTCACAAGCTTTAGAGCATTATCACTTTTTACATGTAGCATCTAACAACTTGCATATTTCTGCAAATCTCTCTTGAATGCTTACCCTCAAATGACCTCTTTCCCTAGGATTTGTACAGATGGATGACGGGAGGAAGATTGTGTTTGTCCCAGGATGCTCTGTTCCTTTAACAATCATGAAGTCAGATGGAGGTTTCACATATGATACATCTGACTTAGCTGCTCTTAAGCAAAGGCTATTTGAGGAAAAGGCTGATATCATTGTTTATGTGGTGGATAGTGGGCAGGTGAGTACCCCGACCTCTGCTTTGTTCTTCAGTCAGTCACTAAATATCGCTCTAGCCTAGAGGACAGGGGCTAGAAGGTGTTATCACCTGATGGCTATTTATTGGCCCTTATGTGAAATTATTTGGTAATTACAGTCCAGTTCCTGATGGGCTGTGGGCCAATCACAGAATTCGCCACCACAGTTTAGACTCGCGGCCATCTCAGCAGTGCCCAAGGATTTAACACTCCGGGAAACAAAACTGTCCGCACATCCAGGTCAGTGCTGAATCTGAACGGCTGGAGAGAGTGATAAAAACCTGCACTGTCACTGTTCATGCATTGCCTTATCTGTGGAGTCTCCAGACCTGTCCGTTGAGTACCTTTCACCCACGTTTATATTCACTTAAATGGGAACTATAAAATGCAGGCAGTGGTGATGTACTTGTCACACACTCTTGTACCGAGAATTGGGGAGGGATCTTTAAAAGTATCAGGCATTGATACTTTCTGAAAATCTGAATAGTCTGTAGAAACTGATGACAGTAGTGGTTCGTCATTACAAGTGTCCTGTGCAATGAGTCTAAAGGGGGACGTGATCAGTTAGGGAAGCTTTATTTTTCCTTGTAATAACACTCTTGGTACAAAAGCATTTTACAGTATTTATACCAGAATCTTAATGGGAAAAAGACAATTGGAAAGTGCAGTTGACAACTGCTTTTTATTTTTCTATTTCTTCGCAGTCAGTGCACTTGCAGACAGTATATGCAGCAGGTCAGATGATTGGCTGGTATGACCCTGCCGTGACCAGAGTAGTCCATGCTGCATTTGGAGTGGTACTGGGAGAAGATAAGTAAGTTGAATGAATAGACCATTTCATGGTACATTTAATGGATACTGTGATTACACTTGCCAGGCTGTCTCAGCATCAGACAACAGAAAAAGAAAAGAAGTCAGATCATATTGCAGTTTTCAGGGTCAGATTCCAGTAGACCCTGTCACGTTGTTTGAGACATATTCTTGTATGAGGACTTAAAATGCAAATATCATACAAGTACTTGGACTTTGAAAATTTTGCTTTACATGTTGACATCTAAAATAATGAAGAAACAAAGTTCACTTATTAATGAGTTTTTTGCATGTCTGCTGTGACTGTCTTTCCATATATTCTGTAACTATTCTATAAAAGTGCACTATTTTTCTGGAATCTAAACAAATCAGGTTTTTTGGTTGTTATTTTTTTAAAGCCACCTCTTTTTCCATCCCAAACAAACTAGCTCTGCCCTGTTTTTATTTGAGAAAATTCTATCTTAAAAAACAGGTTTCTTGTAAATGAAGTTCATGTATGTCTAAATTAACATTGCAAACCAGTGTTTCATTATTCATTGGTAAAGTAACTGCAAAATAAGAAATCTGAATTTATTTTCCATAAGAAAAATATTTTATATATTAGTCTGGCTAGATTGTGGGCTTAGATTGCATTTTGTTTGACAAGATTATTCTGTCTACTCCATAGCAAATGTGTTTATAGCTTGTGACAGCCATGTTAGTCTGTATTTGCAAAAAGAAAAGATGCATCCGATGAAGTGAGCTGTAGCTCACGAAAGCTTATGCTCAAATAAATTGGTTAGTCTCTAAGGTGCCACAAGTACTCCTTTTCTTTTTATAGCTTGTGTTTCTGTTTTGGTAATTGGGAACACCTTAACCCCAGAATTGTCCTGTAGGATTCTCTCTGTGAAGGAAATATATAGCTAATTCAGCATTTTTTTTTACAATCCTATTTTATCCTTTTGCTATAAATAGAAGTATATGTGGCCCACAAAAGTCACAAACTAATTCTAGTATGGCTTGAAATTCCACGTCTGTTTTTTGCAGCTTCACTTTGCAGTATTGTGACTCTGTGTCACAAGGAACATATCGCACAGCATGCTCACGTGTTGTACTGTGGGTCGGTGTGACTCCACTCTAAGCTATGTCCTCTGTCTCCTTCTTTCTGGTTGGTGAAGGGGTGGTTTTCGTTTCTCCTTCACCACCTCCATCTCCCTTGGGCTGCATGGCGATTGAAAGGGATCCCAATGCCCCGATTCTAGGCCAGTTACTTAGTACTCCATCTCAAGCTCCTCTTGCTCCTAAGTGATACTGCAGTCAGACCCATGCATTGTGCAAGAGCTACGTGTAGCTGAGAGTCCACATGCTGTGTCCTTGCTGTTGCATTTCACTGTTAAAACAGGGGGAAATGTTTTGAGCTGTTTTCCTGACAATTGTTGCTCTGATGGGACAGGAAACTGTCCTACACATATGATTGACACCCTGGTCAGCCAATTTTTAAACCTTCTTTTTCTCCAATTAGTTTTATTACAGTTCTGATCTGCCCTTATAGGCGCACCAGTTTGATGCCTGTTTTATACATTTAACTCAGGGGCGGAGGCAATTGGAATGTGCAGCTGAATCTATTAAACTATTGAGAAATGTGGGCCACCCAAGTAATTGTAAGATTTAGTTCTGCAGAGGCTTGTATATAGTGCTGATTGTGAGCCGTGGGGTTTCTATCGAGCCATGTCTATGTGCTTTCAGGAAAAAGTTCAAAACTCGTTCAGGGGATACAGTGCGGCTCATTGAGCTACTGGAAGAGGGGCTGAAACGATCAATGGACAAACTGAAGGACAAAGAGCGTGACAAGGTAATTGTGATGGCTTACTTTTCTTCTTGGAAACAAGTATGTGGTGGGTTTCATCATGTACTGGATGCTTCTGTATAATGGATCCAAGGGAAATATATACAGAGCAAGACTTTCCCCTCCATCACATTGCTCACTGGGCTTATTTTCAGTGTTACCATTCTACTGCATGTTGTGATTAGCAAGCAGCTCTGTTTTACGGCCTGGAATTGTTCCTGACACCAGTAAGAAAGACTCCCCACCTCTGAAGCTCTTAAATTTCCCTGCACTGTGGAGTAGACACTGATGCTAATTCCTAATGGATTTAGTGCAGTTCTGAGTTAATCACAGCTCATTTGAGCCGGCAGGATTGGACTGCAGACAAAGCCTCAGCACTGGCTGGACATTGTAGTTTTGAAACGTACGGCGGGCTTGTCTGCATTGGGAAGTTAGTGGGCAGGAAGCTAGGGTGTGAACTGAAAGCACGCTAGCTACTCTGCACTTACTGTCTGTGGGGACATGCTGAATGCCCTTGGGCAGTTTAGCTTAATGCACTTCTCAAATGCCTTAAGCTACTGTGCAAGAAGACTCCCTTAGTGCACAGTATGTGCACAGTGTGTGCACTAGGTATTCCTCACTAGCTACTATCGGCTTTTTCCCCTTGGTGACAGGCCCTGGAATATTTATTGCACAGTTGGATCGAGGAGAATAAATTAGGATGTTAAAGCTTTCAGTGCTGGAAGCATTTACTGTAGCCATCCCTGCACCCCTCCTTGCTCTGCCTGAAAATGGTGCAGAATGCTGAGCAAGCTGCTTTTCAGGAACAGCTTGGAATCCGAGTTGTAGGAGACTGTCCCAGCATGGGGCCAGGAGCCTTTTGGGAGAGCAGGGATTTTTAATAGGGAAAAGGATGAGATATGAGCCAAGGTTTAGAAGGGGGCAGGGTGTGAGATGGGTAGAAAGGGACAGCCAGTGAACAGGGAGTTGAGGATGGTAAGCAACTCCAGGACTTAATCCTGTTTTTGGGACAGACATTCTCTTGGCAGCTAGAATAGATAGGAGAGGTTAGTTAGGTGAGGAGATGTCACAGGCCATAGAAGAGCAGGAGCAAAGGTCGATACACTAAAAATGAACATTCAGTCCACCAGGAACCCCATCTTAGCACTCGCAGAGCTGCCTCTTGCCGCAGCCATACCAGTGTCAGGAGTGGCCACCTGGTGGAAACAATTAAAAAAAAATAAAGTTGGGGCAGGTCATGTTCCTTGTCTGGTGAGAGAAGTTCTTGCATTGTAAAACAGCATTAAATCTCCACAGTATGCTGGTGAGATGCAAAGGGGGAAACAGCCGATTCCTTAAAGATCCAGCAGGTGGTGGTAGAACACAAACCACTCAATGCGGTTTTCCATACAGTGCAGCCTTTGCTGCCTCCCTAAGCAAAGATGTATGTTGAGACGGTGGCCTTGATGTGAGCTCCAACATGGCTCAAACCTTTCCTCTCTCTGAATTGGCTCTGTGGCATATCTACTGGAATCTCTGCGGGATTAAACTCCTGTGCGCTGTAGCTAGTTATTTGCTAAATTGTTGGAATTAAAGCAGGTCACGCATGAGGCTCCAAAATCGCAAAGGTATGGAATTCTATATCAGTGTCTGAATTGTGGACAAATCACCCTCTGATTTCAACAGCCTCAAAATGGCTTCAAAAATGCATAGCACGGCAGTTTGCTCTTGCGTAGCCTTCAACTGTGTCGCCTTGGTACATACTGTGTTCCACTATGGGAAGTGATCTAATTTTGAAGAGATCCTCATTTTCTGGAACACAAGTCGAAACTTTCAGACCATACTGTTATGGTGATGGGGAAGGAAGGATGCCCTTTAGAATATAGGAGAGCATGCTAAACTGTTCCTAAACCTCTCTGAGGTCAATCAGACAGTGGGGCAAAATACTAATTTACAGTTACATGGCATTTTCTACCTTCCAAAGCACTTTACCCACTATGCAACTTCACCACTAATTAGGTGGGGGGCCACAACCAGCTGACATTTTGGTTAAAGGCCCTGGGCCCAGGCACTAATCTTGCTGTCCATGCACAGAACACAGGGCCTCACTTTTAAGTGTCACAGGAACGACACCTGCATGGGACTTCTTTGGCAGCAGGAAGTGTTGTGCTGATCCTGCTCTGTTTCCAGATAATCTAGGTGTCCACTTTATAGTAAGCCTTGATGAAATAGAAAATTCACTTAAGGGTTAAGCAAATTTGGCTGAACAATCATCAGTGCTTTGAAATGGGTTCTAACTAGTTAATTTCCCTCTGGAAAAAGCAGAGTCAAAGTCCATGAGTTGACCATGTTTTCCCCCAGCATGTTACTTGGCTGGTGCCTCTAGAATATTTCCTGCTGAGGCCTTTCCATTTCTCTGGGTTTGTGGTGAAGCAAAGCATGCTATGTGGGAGACAGAATGGTTACAACTTGGTGTTTTTTTTTTTTTTTTTTTTTGGTCTTCTGTAGGTCCTAACTGAAGAAGAACTGAAGGCTGCCCAGACATCAGTTGCTTTTGGCTGCATTAAATATGCTGACCTTTCCCATAACAGAATGAATGATTACATCTTTTCTTTTGATAAAATGTTGGATGACCGAGGAAATACAGCTGCTTACTTGCTCTATGCCTTCACTCGAATCAGGTAGCTCAAGGGTATTGTGGTTGCTTTAAAACCAAGCTGAAAATGAGTTGCCCTTCAGGTTGCAAAAAGTTTAATATGTCTATTCCATCTTTTATTAACTAAAAATAACAGAATTCCTAGGGAAATCTCAGCTGTGGTCTCTCTTGCTCTCCTGCCCCTTACTCAAAAAAAAAAAAAAATTATTTGTGTTTGGGGCCTTAAGCCTGTTTCATTTTCTTTCCCGAGCTGCTTGCCCTGATAATATCCTTAAATGCCAAAGGAGGAGTCTAGCTGGACCCCTCTGAAAAACTCTGCCTTGTTTAGTGTAAAATATCTGCCATGCTTCATAACAGCTTAGCCTGAACTTTGTGCTGGGCTGACACTTCATCTACCTTGGTAAATCTGTTCTCAGTATTAGCAGGTGGGTGTGCTGTGATCTAGGCCCTATGTGTTCTGAGAGGGCGTGGAAGTGGAACTCCTTCTTGGCCAGCCACTGCAGGCTGTCCTTCCAGCTGGAGGGCGAGCGTATCTAATTTTTCTAGCAGTGTGGCCATTGTCTTGTTTTCTGCCTTCATGTCTAGATGGAGCCTACTTAGTGAACATAGTCAACGTCCTCCCTCAGAAAGGGCAGGTCTGTGTGGAGAAGTTTTCCAGGCAGGCATCTCTCACTGACATTACAGGGTAGTGGTCTCTCCCAAATGAATATTTGTATAGGCTTATTAATAATTACATAGCCCACTCTCACAAGGGAACTGTGCACCACCACCTCTTTTGGGTACCTGTCCCTGTTTCCCCCTCCCATCTATTACTGCTTTCCCGCTTTTTTTTCCACAGCCTCCACATACACTTGAGCCCCCAGGCTTCTTCCCATATCAGTGCCTGGTCACCTTTTAGCTTCTCATCCACTCTTCCTCTTGAATGCGTGTCCAGTCCCTTGCTGCTTCCGTGCACTAATTCCTCCACCCAGTGCATGCCTCCTGCACTGATTGCCTATGTTCTTGCAATGTACTGAAACTGAATATTTTTCTAGGCAATTCAGGCTGTTTTCTAATATCCATTCAAGTTACCACTCTGTAGCTAGATCATTCAAATCAGAACCCCTTTGCTTTTGGCCCTTCAATCCTGTTGCAAAATTCCATGCATAAGCATGACCAATGCTGGGCTGTTTTTTTCTTTTTTTGTCAGATCTATAGCACGTCTGGCCAACATTGATGAAGAGATGCTGCAGAAGGCAGCTAGAGAAACAAAGATATTACTGGACCATGAAAAGGAGTGGAAACTGGGCAAATGCATTCTGAGATTCCCTGAGATTCTGCAGAAGATTTTGGATGATCTCTTATTACACACACTCTGTGACTACCTCTATGAGCTGGCCACCACCTTTACAGAGTTCTACGATAACTGTTACTGTGTGGAAAAAGACAGGCAAACTGGTGAGTGCATCCCTTAAACTTGCTTGCAGTGAGCACATCTCTGTGAGGTTGTAATTGGAGAATTCTGAAGATACAGTTGATCAGGTTTGTACCAGCATTCCAGGCTGAAAGGTCATAACATCCAGGCGGGGGGAGTCTTAACTTTGTGTTAAGGATGCTGTTACTCCAGTCGTTCTTGGATGCAAGATAACAAATGCACAAGCATGTCAAGGCAGCTTTTTGTTGTTCTTTAAAGCTATTGCTAATAGTAAATCATATCTAGTTTTTGTGACCAGTGTTACTGATTTTTATGAACAAGTGCATGTCTTGGTCTATTCAAAAAACAGAGCTATTGCTGTGTTTGAAGGAGGGCTGTCTGTGGCCACACTGGCTGCTCTGTCTCTGCTTTACAGAAAACCCAACCGTTCCCATTTATATTTAAAAAAGAAATTCACCATAGCTATAAAAGCAACCTACAAGTGTTCAGAATAAGACGAGGTTTCCAAGTGCTAGCACATGTAACAAAACTCTCTCAAGTCGAGAAGAAAGTGGGCACTAGTGATCGATCATCTCTTGTGAAAATGCTACTTGCTGTAGCACCTGAGTGTATTAAATAGTGCGTTTTTACCAGTCCCTTTTAGTGTAATGGAAGCTACATAATTCCAACTGTACTACATCATGGAAATAGCACAAATGCAGTGACTGTAATGTGTAATCTATGATGCTTCCTGACCATCTAATTCAAGCTTGCACTATTTTTCTTTCTTCTCCAGGAACGATAGTGAAGGTGAACATGTGGAGAATGTTGCTGTGTGAAGCAACAGCTGCCGTTATGGCCAAAGGGTTTGACATCCTGGGCATCAAACCAGTCCAGAAGATGTAACTACTTCTGCACTTGGGCCTCTTGTATTTTACTAAACTAGTTTTCTTAGCTGTCATAGTGGAGTCTTATTCAAACCCTACTTTAAAAATAAAAAATTGCTAACATTGTGTGGATTGAACTTGTGTATGCTGCCCTGTACGTGGGTGGCGTATTGTCAGTGTGATGTTTTAAAGGACATGCAACTCTTACACACAGGTGCCTGAATTTATATTCGCATGCTGAATAGGTACCTAAAAAAACAAGGTCAAGAATGCATCAGTAACCTGGAAGAGAGAGAAAGAGAGAGAACAGAGCTGGTAAGTGTTCGAGGGCTGCACCTTCATTAGAGGTGCTTTGTCCAGGCTATTACAATCTGAATATTTCAACCAGAAGTATTTACAGAAAAGGAAGAAAACTGAGTAAATACAAATCTGAGGAAAGTGGTTAAATTCATATGCATATTAAAATTCCAGAATTTCAAAATATATAAAGCTCTGGTACCCGAGGCACACATAGAATATCCGAGTTGGAAGGGACCTCAGGAGGTCATCTAGTCCAACCCCCTGCTCAAAGCAGGACCAATCCCCAATTTTTGCCCCAGATCCTGCCCTATGCGCACTACATTGCATAGCCTCATGTAAGTGTTTTTCAATAGCTTAATTCTTTGGAAAGATGCAGTTGTAGACACACCAGTGATACTCAGATCACCAGGGGTGCAGGAGCCAAAGAGCCATAGTAGTGCAAAGTTATTGTTTCATTTACTGTATATTCATATTTAAACAGTAGGCAGGGAAATATTTAGTTTTTATTTATATTAGTCTCATAGCAAAAGGACTGACCAAATATTTTTATTTTATCAACTACAGTTAAATCACAAAGAGCCACAAAGATTTAGCTTATTTTAGTACAGTACCTTAAGCTAATCTGAAGGAAAATGGGAGTGAAGTTCAGTTGAACCTGTGCCTGTTTTGCACCTTAGTACTATAGAGCTAAAGTAGTTTCACCCATTGCTTGTCTTAAATGCAGTCTCACTTATCTGTGCCTAGAAAGAAGACAGTTAAAACACTGTTTCTAATACTTACGTAGGGCACAGGGATGTGGCAAAGCCTCCATACGTTACTAGCAGTTGGCACATCTACGTTCTGCATCTACAACTGTGCCACTGAAGCCTAAGGGGTTTTTTTTTGTTTAACTATTGTAAACTAGAAATAAAGACCCTGCTTATACTGCCACCTAGCATACCTCCAGCCAAACAAAGAGTTTCCTCTCCGGGCATTTAAAATCATTAGCTGCTATTGCCCAGCACTAACCTCTCTCACTTTTAAGTATGGTACACTGGACTTTTTAAAGCTTACATATTACGGAGTGATTTGTTTTTTAAAGTCACTTGCTGTACCTCTTACAAAATTCAGTATGGCATCCCTGACCATATATTGCTATATTGTTACATGCGTTGTCATTGTTTGTGCTTACATCTAAATGTTTAAGATGTCTGGGTTGCTTTAAACAAAAAAAGCTGCACTAGCATTTAGAACAGGATGCTGTGTACTAGAGGTAGATTTAGATCAAAAGTTATGCAAAATTATCTCCAAGCATGGCTCCAGGTTTAGCTGTGTGACTTGTTAGCAGCTGGTAACAGAGCTTTTACATTTTTAATCTCCAGCTCAGGAAAACTTGTCACTACCTACATTTCCAGTGCTGCAATAAAGTTAATCTGGCAGCATTACTATGAGCATGTGGGGCCTAGAGTCCAGTTTTCACTGGGGTTTAAGAGCAAAAGGGTAAAGCAGCATTATTGTGGGTGCAGGTAAGTCTTATACTGGGTCAGCCCAGTGGTCCAGCAAGCCTGCCTTCTGACAGTGCCCAATGCTTCAGAGGGCCTGAACAGAGCAAGCAAGCAATGAGTGACCCATCTCTTTTTTTGCTTGTGGCAAAATGAGGCTAGGGCCACACAGAATATGCCATTGATGGACCTATTCTCCATGAATGTATCATGTTCTTCCTTTGAACCCTGTTAGTATTGTTTTGGCCGTCACAATGTACGTTCCATAGCTTGATTCTGAGTCATGTGAAGAATAACTTGCTTTTCTTTAAACGTGCTGCCTATTAATTTCATTGGGGGTCCCCTTGGTTACGTGAAGGAATAAACAACACTTCCTTTTCTCAACCCCATTCATGATTTATCATATGCGCCTCGTAGCTAGCTGCTTTCTTTACTGAACAGTCCCACTCTTTTTAATCTCTCCTCCTAGGAAGCTGTTCCATACCCCTAATTGTTTTTGTTGCCATTCACTGTACCTTTTCCAATTCTAATATCTCTTTTTTTGCAATGGGGTGACCAGCCCTGCATGCAGTATTCAAGATGTGGGCATGCCATAAATTGATATAGTGGCATTATCTATTCCTTTCCTCAGACATGGAAAACAGCCACTCACTGTACAGTAGCAGTCAAAAAAAGCCAACCAAACAATCCATCTAAGGTCTCTGGTAACAGCTAATGTTGTGTGTAGAGATGAGCATATATTTCCCAATTTCATCTGCCATTTTTGTTGTGTAGATCAGTAAAAGCCCTTTGTAACTCTTCACTGTCTGATCTGCAAATTTTGTCACCTCATTGTTCATGTTGAAATGGTCCCCATACAGCTCCCTGGGAGACACCACTCTTTACCTTGCTCCTTTCTGAAAATTAGCCATTTATTCCTACCCTTTGGTTCTGTGTTTTAACCAGTTATTGATCCACTAGGGGCCCTTCCCTCTTATCCCATGACACTCTTTTGGTGAAGGACCTTCTTAAAGTATTTTATCAACTGGCTCACCCTCAAAGAATTCCAGTAGATTGGGGAGGTCTCATTTCCTGTTACAAAAGCCCTGTTGACTCTTCTGTAACAGCTGGTGTTTATCTGTGTGTCTGCTAATTTTGTTCTTTTCTATAGTTTCACTCAGTTTGTCTGGTACTGAAGTTAGTCTTTCCAGCCTGTAATTGCCTGGCTCACCACTGCAGCCTTTTAAAAAAAAATGGTTGTCACATTAGCTAGCCTCAAGTCAGCTGGTACAGACGCTGATTTAAGTAGGTTACATACCACCCTTCGCAATTTCCTATTTGAGTTCCTTCACAACTCTTCACTGAATGCCTGCTGACTTATTACTGTTTAATTTATCACTTTGTTCCAGAAAACCTCCTCTCTTGCCACTTCATGCTGGGGCAGTTCCTCAGCATTGTCACCAATCGCTCACATCCGTAAAGACTGAGTCAAAGGAGTCACTTAGCTTCTTGACAAGAGCCTTCTCTTCTTTGTGTGCTCCTTTAATGCCTTGCTCCTCCTGTCTTCCTGATTCTGATGTTCTTAAACTCTGGCAAGTTAACAGTCAAAAGAAGAATTTGAAACACACAGCAAAAAAAAGTTTAGGTTCCTTTATGTTCTCCTCAGCAGGATTTGACTTCCAATTTTTAAAGGGTGCCTTTTTGCTTTTAATCATTTTTACTTTGTTGGTCGTCTTACTGTTTTTTCTGAGTTTGGTGCCACACGCATGGTGTTTTAAAAAAGTTTCCATGGCCCTTGCACACAATTCACTTTTGTCGCTGTACCTTTTAATTTCCATTTAACTAGCTTCCTTATTTAATTCCCTTTTCTAAAGTTAAATGCTACTGTGGTGGGCTTCTTTGTGTGTCTCCCCTAACATTGTTAAATTTATATTATGGTTGCTCTCAGCAAACCTTTCACCTCTTTGACCAAAGCATGTGCTCAGTTTAGGACTAAATCAACACTTGCCTCTCCCCTTCTGGGTTCCAGAACTAGCTGCTCAAGGAAGCAGTCATTTGTGGTGTCAGAAAACTGTGTCTTTGACCTGTACCCAATCAACGTGGGGACAGTTGAAGTCTTCCATTATTACTCAGTTTTCTATTTTTATAATCTCTCCCCCAGAGCATTTCACAGTCACCATCTTGGTCAGGTAGGAAGTAAGATTATAGCAATAGGAATATATTATTGAAGCATAGAATTTCTGTCCCTGTTACAGTTTGCTTCATTTAAGATTTTTATTGTATTTGCCTCTATGCTTTCTTGCACATGCACCACCACTAGGCCCCCATCCATCAGCACTACTTAGTCCAGGGGTGGGCAAATGTTTTGGGCCAAGGGCCACCTCTGGGTGGGGAAATTGTATGTAGGACCAGGGCAGGGGAATATGAGGAGGTTGGGGTGTAGGGGCTCAGGACAGGGAGTTGGAGTGCAGGAGGGGTTTGGGCTCTGGCCCGGCACCACTTACCTAAAGCAGCTCTGGGGTGGCAGCAGCATGCCCTGCATGCCTGCCCTGACCCCATGCCAAGAAGCAGCCAGAACCACAGCCCCTGGGGGTGGGGGCCACAGGGCTCCGCCCACCGCCCTTGCCATGCCTCCAGGAAGTTCTCATTGGCCACAGTTCCCTATTCCCAGCCAATGGGAGCTGCAGGGGGCAGTGCCTGGAGGCAAGGGCAACACCCTAAGCCCTCTACTGCTCCCACAGGGACTTGATGCCAGCCACTTCTGAGAGCAGCACCATCGCAGGCAATGCCCCAGGCTGGATCCACCCTGCAGTCTGTAGTTTGCCCGCACCGTACTTAGGCTTTCATTCCTATATATTTTGTACCCTCATATTACTGTGACCCATTGATTAGACATCACAGAAACTTGGTGGAAGGATGACAATCTATCACTCTCCTCATTTAATACCAGACACAAGTTCATCTTAGCTTAGTATTTACACTTACAGCATTTAGATACAAGCAGTCACTTTTTAGCTGTCAGCCCTTATGTGATGTAATTGAAGGGGACTCTTCCATTTGACTGTCTCTTCACTTCCTACCTGTGCTTTACTGCTCTAGTTATGGTCAACCACACTGGCTCAGAGCCACTAACTGATTTGCCTACTGTCCAGCTATCCCAGCTCTTATCTAGCACTAAGAAAGCTAGTAGTGATTCAGAACTCCTACTAGGTGTGGGTAAGACACTGATAACATTCACACCACCCTCCGTGTGTAAGGATGTAACATTGCGTTGCATATACCTAAGCAACTCTTTAATCACAAATGCAACTGCGAATAAGTTACAAGACATCATAAATCCAGGGCAAGTTAGTTTCACAGGAACAA